CACTTTCCAACTCACAGTTATCATTTCCTGGATTACAGATTGTTCATTTCAATATTCTACAATCGATTTTTTGCGTTTTCTGCGTTAGTTCATTTAGTGTCTTCTTTAATAATAAGTAGTTTATTCAACTATTTGTTTAATTGTTTAATTACCATTATAAATATTCGTTTTGTATTGTTCGTTTGATTCTTTTCATTAATGTTTGATACTGTTATTGATCAGTCACTTATTAAGAAGTCTAAAACAGGCAATAGAAAATAAATTTTTTTATATTTTACAAGCAAGTGGCTATCAGGACTCAGAAGCCAAGTGAATAACACGATGGCGTTTGAAGCGAACAGTACTGGGGTCTAGTTCAAGAGTGAACATCAACTCTTATATTCAGGTACATCCAGCTGACGAGTCCCAAAACAAATGATGCACGTGTACTGGACTACACTGCCAGACAATATCATTCTTTACATATAAATATTGAGAAATGTAAGATAATTCAACAGTGGAGAATGATGTTCAGTGACGGATTGATCGAAGATAACAAATAAAGTGAAAACGATGCGTGGTGTTTATCCCACAAAAATCGACATTACGCAAAAATATAGTGCGAAGTAGAACTACGCAAACGATTGAACACACTCGGAAATGAAATTTTCCAACTTAGAGATGTATCTCGTTTGATCAACTTCCTCTTATTCGCTTAGTGATGCAATGGCTTTTGAATGCTGGGCATTTAGGAATAAGATTTGAAAAATTGGGAATTCTGTCCGATTCCTTTGATCGACTAGAACAATACACCAAATTCTATCATTTCTGTTACATTTTGTGAAAAATTTAAAGTAAAATATATTATCACTTCTTTAATCTCAGTGTAAATTATCAGACCATTTAATTAACAAAAACATATTTCTCTTGACCTCAGTTGTTGACAGATATATCAGTGATTATACTTTGTTTTCGTCAGTCACCTCACGCCATCTCATTAATCAAATAATATGGTATTATTCTATATCATCTATTATGTATAGTGGGCGTAATATGAATCTTATTTAGAGCAAAACAACAACGATTTCTAACAATAACTTGTTTAAATGACTGATAATTAGCCACACGTACAGAAAAAAGATGAGTGAAATTCTCATTTTTCAAAAGATTACTACTTTCTATAAACAAAATGAAGTGAAAACAAATCTCTCGGGTGTCAATTCATAGAAGGCTGTGCTTCATCTATGAATAAACACTGTAGCCATTGACCGTCTAATTTCAGATGAGTTTAGTGGTTGTTTCCTCACAGAATCGTCCAGCTCTCACTTCCTCAGTTTATCAATCTATGGATCGCGCATTAATGATCCTGATTCTTTGAAACTCGACTAGTTATTATTTCCTGTGTATATCGGTCTATGAGACTGTGGTGAATCATCCTGGTGATAAAATCCACATCACCTTCTGTGTTCCATTTTATATCAATCACTGTGACGGATAAACTCATCCTCATCCGATATTCTGAATAAACACACTTTACTATTGACCAAATGTATGTTTTCACTGAATATTGACTATGGTTGCATATCATGGTTCAATGTGAGCGATCAAATTTTACGTGAGGTTGAATACATTTTGACATGTCATTCGGTGCTGATGTTTGCCCCGACTTTTCAACAGATTTGAAATGAGCTCTTTTGAAATGAAGCATTCGTAGTTGAATATTTAAATAGCATGTCAGGTTTGCACTGTCTCGCCAATTTCAGACTCATCGTCATTAATGATTTTATTGAGGGGATGATATAATTGAGCTTGAAAATGTTCGGTGTTTGTAGGCTGTCGGCAGAAAATCGTGTAGTCCGGTTTCATAGTAGTTGGTACAAGTCAGTATGTTATACTCTCAATCTTGAAGAAACCAATACTCCTCGTGTAATTCAAACTCATGTCAGTCAATTTCGTAGTATGAAAATTTACTGCTACGTTACTGTCAACAAAACTGACATCTTGTAGGACAGAGATGTTTATATTTATTGATCAAAGCACAATTGTTGATGTCCTGTTTGTCTAGTAATTAAATACTGATGGAGTTCTATCAATCAGGTATTCTACTTTTACTACTTATTAGTAATCAGTTATTATGAACTAATGATTCTCATGTACTTGTTGACTGCTTCATTCGGAATTCCGAATACAATACTTTCGTTAGTGCTCATCTGCCTGTTCTTCGTTTTATTACGTTATTCCTGGGATTCCCAGTTTGTACCATGATTGAAATACTCCCAATTATCACATTTGCGTCCCGATGGAGCCTGTAATGGAACGGTTGAACATACACTCAGATTTGATGCTTTTGCGAATTACATGGAAAGGTTTGAAATCTGAGCTATAACCAAGGACGTTGTTGAGGATGGTAATATTTTACCTCATTTCCTTTCATTCATCAGAAAAAAAGCATACAGCTAAATAAAGACATTGGCATCTCCTGACAAGCCGACTTCTCTTTGTTATGCAACTCTGAGGCAACCGCTACTAGACCATATAAAATATACAAGTTTCAAATGCGTTAAAGGCGTAAGTTTTCTTAAAATGATTCGTCAGAACATAAGGAGTCCCACTACATCATGCCGTCACAGTCCAGTGCGTAATCAAGTTTATTCAGATAACAATTCATTGAGTTGTGAGACAGTTAACAAAGATAAGCACAAGTTTGGTGGATGCTTGTTATGTAGCAAGTTTCACGCATATCATTCATGTGTAGTTCGTAATTTGAAATGTCTTAAATGTGGTGAGATTGGACACATTAAGTTAGTTTGTAATACTACTGTTCATTATTCTGCAACTAATGCTAAATTGAGTAATTCTGATCCTACTAAGTTGTTGATTTCTAATGATGGTTTATTTTATTGGCCCGTCTTCTGACTTTAATCCGACCGTATGAATGTTTGTTATCGCCTATCCTCGTGTATGATCATCGACTTAAATCGTGTTCGTCAATAACGGAATTAAATATGTCGAATAAAGAGAATGGACTTGTGAATGCATATATTTTGTATACAGAGCGAATGAAATAGGAAGAAGAGTAACGACTCAGAGTGGAAATGGCTGGTAAGCCAACTCACATTTAACCAAGCGTTTATCAATACTTATACATGCAAAAATGTAAGTTACAGACATGTGATGAGTAATGCGATAAGAAATGTACACACAACTACGCGCTCATAGAAAAACAGTCAAGATTGATAAGCGAATAAATAACAAGGTCAGAATGTGACTCAAGTAGAACGAATAGAATTGTCAGTCTGAAAGCTAGAAAAAGGTATAAGGGTCTAACATTGTAGCGTGGCGTCGAGTCGGGATTGACTATGAACACCGCTACCAAAAAACACGTCCCAAGTAAATCAGAAGGCGAAGGTTGAACGTAACCAAATAAATCCATAAAATCCCCGAGAAGCCAAATATCAGAAGACAGTTAATGGACCAAGTCGAGATATATTTGCTGGCGATCTCGTGGTATCGAAAGGATACCGAGATCGTGCCAGGATACAAGCTCGGTTACAGAACGTAACCGAATTTGCTCGAAGTCACAATCAAAGTGTAGGAATAAGAATGGAAGCACAATACAGCTGTCATTAGCACAGTCAAACAAAAGCACATTAAAACAAACACTGGTCGGTTGGTTATAATAATAATTGTTTTTATTAAACCAGTCGTGTTCTCGTGATAAATGTGAGTCACTACAACATAATAAACGACACTACATTATCTTTATACATGATATCGTGAAGCAATATACAGTCATATAGCAATCCAGACTTAAATGACACTCTGAATGATTGTGAGACAAAAGTTTCTAATCAATCAACTTCTTATCGAATTTCTCATGTTATTCACATGATGGAAAGTTTCAAATTATATGTTAGTGTGTGTCGCCAAACACTTACATAAATCAATCAAAGCGTGAGATATGAGATTATAATGAGAATTGAGAACATCAAATTGGTTATGACATTGAGACGTAAGTGCCCTACATTCTTTCGTGAGGGAGGATACTGTTGTAAAATTTATGATTGAAATTCTAGATATCCCTGGTTTCACTACACAACTGACATGGTGATTGTACATAATTACACGATCCCGATGAATCCGTTCCAATTTCACATGCTAATTCTAATACTAGTGAGTACATTCTAGATAGTGCAGAGTTTTATATCCAATATACTGTCGGACAGATATAGAATGAAATTATGGAAAATACATACAATCGATAACTGGAACTTAGACTCCAATTTAAGTTGTCTTAGATATAGTGTGCTTGTATGAACCAATGATTCCTTTATAACTTGATGACTACTTGATTTGAAATTTCAAATACAATACATTCGTTTGTATTCATCTTATACAACTTGGTTAAATTGTATTATTTCTAGCAATCCTAGTTTGTACCATTATTAAATTAAATTTATGCAAATAAAAACTTTTAGGTAATTAGATAAACTTCACTGATTGAAATCATGAGTCAATTGAGTTTGGATTGTCATGGGAAACCTGGAAGTACTGGACGACCGTTTCGTCCTAGTATGGGTTTCCTCAACAGCGCGCGTCCACGAACCCACATCGTGCGAGATTCGAACCCAGGACCTATCAGTCTCGCGCCAGGCGCTTAACCAACTAGACCACTGGGCCGCCACCCAGTGGTGTTAGTGTCTAACCTGAACTAATCACGAAGCTGCGCCGCCGTACACCATTGTCTTCAGTGAGTCTTCGGTTCGGATCTCGTGGGGTCCAGGATCGTGGATGCGCACTGCTGAGGAGTCCCATACTAGGACGAAAAGGCCGTTCAGTTTCTTCCTGGTTTTCCATGGTGGTCTAGCATCAATTGACTCATGATTTCAATCAGTTAAATTTCTAATGTCTTCACAAAACGTTTCTGATAATTAGATAAACTATTCAACTATATATTTCATATGAAAATAGATGTGATAACATTCAGTATAGAATAGTTTTATTCACAGATATCTTAACATTTATTCATTGAAATGATCATATTTACACATTCTATTCATTCTATCTAATAGATAGTATTGGCATTCATTTTTGTCAATACTATTATTATTATCATAATAATAAGAAATAGTTTCATTTAATTTAGGCGCTAAAACTGAATTTCCACATTTCAATATACAATGAATACAATTCTCTTGTTGTCGTTGGTGTTGTTTATTAAATAGATGAATATTTTCATTGATTGAATTAGAGTATAACATACAATTATGAGGTAATGTACCATATGATCTTTGAATTGGATAACTTTTCGTATAACATTTAAAATACGATGAATATGGATTATTGATCATTGAATTTGACATTAATTCATTTAAACAAATCTCATTTGTATAAATTGGATTCAATAAAGGAGTTTGATTTGAATTGAATGATTTCTCATCACGATTATCATTATGATTATGATTATCATTTTGAAGAATAGATTCATCATTAAACTTATTATAAAGACATTTTATTGTACAATTAGGATTATTACTATCATATATTGAATTGGTGATAGATTGAAAAGGATATTGTTTTAATTCATAACAATCATATACATAACTATCATGATCATTGTTGTTTTGATTAGGTAGAATTAAAGGATTTCTATTTGAACATGTGGAACAATTTGATTCAGATTGAATATTGAAATTGTTGTTTAACTGATGTTGACAAGTATTATCTAAGTTACATAACAAAACACAAACACACACACACACCACGTAATTGTACATCACAAACTGACTTTATTCGAAAAATCTATCAAAAACTAGAATTGTTTCATCAAGGTTTATATTCAATTGTTGATAAAGAATGAGACATTCTGGCGAGACTATAATTTTTGAACAAACCAATCAGGTATATGATAACTGGTCTCGGATTTCGCCGCGAAATTCACCCCATTCATTTGGACAAATAGTGTCTTGATATTATAGCTGATGTCAATTCGTGATGAAAACACTAAATCTAATTCCTGACCTTGACCGTTAATTGTAAATTATAATTCGAATTTTTCACACAGCTTTGTAACCTCCATTTGGTCTTAGTTATTAGGTGGACACTCTCAAAGTCACTTTAGTATTTGCTCAACGGTCGTCCATAAATTATAATCTCAGTAAAGTATAACATCAAGGAATTTCGTGGTTTATGTCAAAAACTAATAATAGTCAGATAACTAATTAAATCAAGAAGTTTTAGATGCCGGTTTTGTCGTGATATGGAATTCCTCAACAACACATATCCTTGAAACCATCACAGATCGAACTTGGAACTTCTGGGTCACGCATAGAAAGATAATTTTTCATACCCTTAGGTCCAAATCCAAAGTTTTATGTATCTCAACCCGATAAATTGGCTTCATTGCACAACTATTGTGCAAAAACATCAGGGAGAAACTGTCACACTGTGAACATAGGGAGACTCTTTTGATCCAATAATCCATAGTGAACAATGTTACTTTTCATCTTATACATAAGTCAATACTTATTTTCACTGAAAAATACAACACACCATTTCATCAAAATCACCAATCATTAGGATATAGTCATGTGGTAATTATTCAGTGATCACTTACTTTTATATTCACAACAAAATGTCTCATGTAAAGTTGATTGTTGCCCATGTAAAATGGGATTACTTGTTACGTAATCATCAAGTAGATTTATAGGAACTACGCGATCATCCTAAATACCGTTCAAAGGAAAATAGAAAACAGATTGTCAACTGTTTATTGTTCACATTTACCTAAAGCTGAATATATTTCAACCACTTAATTATTAAGATGAATAGACTATCTCTTATTCCCGTCATATTTAACATGATTAATTGTTATCTCACTTCACAACTCTTCATGTTTAGTATACCAATTAAATACTTCAGTATTACAACTAAGGCTTGATTTGTGGTGTCTGCTACTGGTGTCGACAAATATAAGTATCATGAATCAAAAGTGAAATGTCTGACGACAGAAGGTTATGCAGATTGAAGAGAAGAGAACGAGGACAGAGAATGATTGGCATGGAAAGAAAAAGGAAAAATCAAGTCTGAAACAATTGATTGACATTTTGAAAATCAGGGATTTACAGTGTGGTTCTCAGACTTTATTAAAAGATTCTGTAATGTTTTATTCATAGCCATTAGATTATCCTCGCCTATGTTCCCGTTCATTACAGTTTGATAGTTCAAGAATCTTGTATTAAATGTCCACAAAACAATCTATTCCATTGGTGATGAATTTAAATCTTACAGTTAATTCCTGATATATGTGTAAAATGTTTGCCTTAATTGGTTTGATTTATCAATCAAAAATGTGAGATTCTTAATCAATCATTTTACTTCGAATCCAGTTTATACTATACAACACCATTAGTTTTATTATTAATTACATAACTACTTAAATGATATAAGTAGGTTAAAATGTTTCTTTAAAATACCTACCAAATAAGGTTGATTGAGTGATTGATTCATTTCTTTATTATTAATTACATTGAAATGATCATCATCAATAAGTGAATTTTGTATAACTTCTGACAAGTCCACTGCTGTAAAGTACCCAACTGTCTTATGATTGTATCTATTAAAAAGAGAAACAACGAAATGATATACATGACATTCTTTTTCTAACGTACACTTTAAAGATTGATCTTTGTCAGGCAAGTACTACAGATTAAGTTGTACTGAACAGTTGTTTTATAATAGTACAAATTTTCACAGTGGATAGTATTTACTGCCTAACATTTAAGAATTAAATCATGTATCCCAGCGTTAATTGAGGAGTGATTAACATTATACAACTTAGTAAAATTTAAGACTTCTGTCTCGTCCAGTTTATGATTCGCTAGCTGAATCTACTCGCATCCTAGTGCAGTTATTGACATCTGAACTTGAGACAATTCCCTTTTTCTCTAAACACTAATGTTTCATTCATAGAATGTCTGAGTTTAGATTGTCACTTACTTATTGATTGAGAACACTCGCTCTGTAATACATGTACATACAACTGACGACTTCTGAAATAGTACTCCTAGACTCCACCACTATTTATAACTAGCTTTTCCAAGTCATTTTTCGCAATGACTATATCAAAACAAACCCCACAGGATTTACATATATCAACAAAGATTGATTAAATTTCAGTCTTAAATATCAACAACAGTATGATTAAAATCTTTGCTAATAGTATTATTAGACTCTTTGGTTGATGATTTAAACTTCAGTCGATTTTCGACATAGCGCGACGTGATTTCATCACCACTGGTGACGTTGCTTCAATGATGAGCATATTAGAACTCTATAGTTTACTAATTCTTGTTTGGCTTTCAGAAATACTTCTATATTCCAGTTCCTTTTGAAAAGAGTATTATTTTTAGAATAAATAGTGTTCAATTATAAAAACCAATGAAATCACATTATAATTTTATAAGCAAAAATGGTTAATAGCTAGGAGTGGAATACAGGATGCGTGTTCCGTACTATATGGGATTCTTCAGCTGCATCTACCTGCACCTGAGTTGATGTTCACTCCGGGACACGAACCCAGTACCGTTCACTTGAAACTCCATCGCGTTGTAAAAGTCAGGTACTGAATCCTGAAAGCCGCCTGCTTATGCAATAGAATGACGTTTAAAACCGCTTGATATCCATTGTTGCTCATAAATCTTGTGGCTGAAGACAATATCGAGACAGTCCGTACAGGATACATACATGTCAACAGAAGACTGATCAGTTGTAATCCTAAACAATAATGAGACTATTCAAACAAACAATACCAAATGAATTCACACTATAGTTGTTTAGTCAAAAGCCAGTTCATGATATAAACTACAAATTGTGAACATTCACTGTAATCGTTGTCCACTTAGCTACTGAATCCTGATTGTCACCCGCTTGTGCAATAGAATGAAGTTTAAAATCACTTGATATCCACCTTTGCTTATAAAGCTTGTGATTTAAGCCAATATTGGGGCAATCGTCACAGGATGCACATATATCAACAAGAGACTGATCAACTACAGTCCTAAACAACAATGGGAAAATACAAGTAAAAAATATGAAGAGTATTCACACTGTGAACATTCACTGTAATCCCATAAAGTTTATTCTCATTACCTTCTTTCATTTTTATTGTAGGTTGTTCTATTCAATGTTAATTTACATTTTATACAGAAATAATGATGATTAGACCATTCAATATATTTACATTTTCTTTGAATATATAATAAACCAATAATGAATGTAAGAATAGTCAGTAATGAAATGACACAACTGACAATCATAATGATAAATTCATTTCTGGTCAATCTATCTACAAAAATTAAAACAAAATGATAGAAATGAATATGAAAAGTTTGAAATTTTGTTCATCTTAGTTAATAACGAGTTAATTTGTAACTGGACTTTCATGGGAAACCGGAAAGCACTGGACGGCCATTTCATCTTAGCGGTCTAGTGGTTAGACCCTCGTGCATGAGACTGGTAGATCCTTGGTTCGAATTTCACGAGTCAGGATCATTGATGCTGAGGAGTCAACATATTAGGACGAAATGGTCGTCTAGTGATTCCAGATTTTCTATGATGGTCTGGCTTCAATTAACTCATGAATTCTATAATTGTATTTCCTTTTATTGTTAGATTTATAAGTTAGATTTTCTTGTTTATATCATCATATTGGTTAGACATTCGTTTAAGATTTTTAAATGTAACCCCTTAATAATGATCTCATCAAGGATCAAATCTAGGACCTTGAGCCTTTATCAAATAATTACATATCTAAATGTCATCATTTCATAATATAGAGTAATTATTTTCAAAGCTTACTATTAAGTAGCTGAGTCACATCAATGAATCGAAAGTGATTGAGGAGTTTAACAACAGAATTCATCTTTTACTGCAGATGTGATGGAATTTATCTCAGATATATGAATGTTTTAGTCAATCTAAGAGATCAGTCCACGGTGTTTCTGACTGTCGGTCTGTGGGTTATTGATAGATAAAATGTTTTGTAGTTTGATTCCATGTAATTAACGTGAACAATAGTCGGGGACGTTCGGTGAAACGGCTCACACTCAGATTACAATAGTTCACAGTCGTTTACCGATTGTCTCCTTCTGGATCATATGTTTTAAGATTATCATTCTTTTTTCTCGATGACTTTCGTCAATGAATAAACTTTATCCACTACAACTGATAGTACTCTAAATATTTCAGTATTCATCGTCATAATTTCATCCATCTGTACTGATGAGCTGCTTTAACGTGGATAGATGTACATGTGTACTACATCCTACATTACTGATGGCTGACTAACTAGAACCTAATAAATAACAAGACAAAATGTCCGATTGCTATGACATCACCAGGATTTACGTCTGTTGGATCAGTACACAAGTGAAGTGCTGACATTTTCAATTGAAATATGATGCAACTTAAAAATAGATGATTTTCTCACTGAAAGAATTAAGTATTTTAACAGGATTACTTAAACAAATTTGAAATTTTTCCGAGTGGTTCATTGAAACATAGTTCACAAAGTCCATGAAACGTTTCTGAAAGCGGTAAAAGTCACCGGATTATATGATTTATGTATATATATTTGAAGAAGACTCGAGTTATATCACGTAGCATACATTTCTTTCTAGATTTCAGAATGTATTCTACACTGTAAATTTCGTTCAACAAGATGAACTACTTTAATAATCAAAAGTAGTTAAATGTTGTTAACAAAACAAATGAATGACTTACAGTTTAAATATAAATTTATCTCATAAGAACTTGATCCCATTAAATTTGAAAATGTACACTGATAAACGCCTTCATCATTTAGATCTAAATTATTGATCTGCAAAGTAATAATCCATCCAACTGAATATTTTCTGTGAATGATTTTATATTTAGATATAAAATTCTGAGTAAGAATAATTGGGAATTGGGAATTTTCAATTGTTGAGTTCATTGTCATTATATCATTATTACTACTATATGAATCTTCTATTGTAATATATTCACCATTATGTAACCATACTGGATGGGTGAAATTTAGTTCCGGAAAACTGACAACATTGCAGATAAGATTAACTGATTTGCCTAGAATTCCATATACATATGAATTACTATGTACAAATGGTTTTTCTGTAGATAAGAAGGGATAATTTTACACACAAAAAATATGAAAAAAGTGTTTAATCATTGAAAAATATATTTTAGCCCAGTAAATTATACTGAAAAGTTTCATTCTTTTCATAAATAAACAAAGAAATTTTCAGTTCCTTGTTGGAGGGCCGTTTCGTCCTAGTATGGGACTTCTCATCAGTGTGCATCCATGATCCCGCCTCGAAACAATTTGAACCGGTAAACTTCTGTCACGCGTGCGAACATTTAACCTGTAGAACACTTAGCCAGCCGGTATCTAACGGTTTTAATGTCTAATTTCTACCAGTCTACGAAATTGTGCGACCATCTTCCATTGTTTGAGGTAGAAACCTATCTATACCTGACACGGATTAGATCTACCAGTCACAGCTTCTCTTTAGAACTCCGAGAATTTCTTCACGAAGCTAGTCACTAGTGAGCACATTAGTAAATGTCTGATGCAATTAACATGTCTATATGTCTGAACAGGGAAAGATCTACAGTAATGATAACATAAAATGTAATTACAACATACGATGGCGTAAATGACAGCTAGTAGCTATGAATAATGTTAACAACAGTTTATCAACAACTAAAATGAGAACAAAGAGTATATAGATATAAAAACTGTTGTGTTTAGACGAAAATTTAAGAAATGCACAAAAGTAGATAAAGCATTAGCAATGATTGAGAATAAGTCATTATAACAATAAATATTATAAACGCCACTATTCCTCTCGGAAAAAATGTTTCAGGAAATGTGAATACAGTCCATTAACCACTCCATTCGATACCAGAAAAGTTCGACTTTAAACATTGAAACCAAGGTTCTGAGTTCTCAAATATCTGAAACATGTCTAGAGAATTATTTCTGTTTACTGAATAAAATCTATAGATTCTAGCACAATGACATCAATAAGTAAATATGTGGATTTCATATCTCTGACTACTGTTTAACTAGCAGACAAGGAAGAAAACACTGTTTAATACAAACTGATTTTCAGTACTTTCCACACTTATTTCACTGACTAGTGATGATGATGATGATGATAATATGTAGATGTGAAGTGAAATCCATCAACTTCTGAAGAGATGTAATATTAGCGTGATTTCTAGCTCATCAATCTAAATGTGTGTGCTCATGTATCCTTATGAAAAGAGCAATTAGTAAACCACCAACATTTGAAATTATAGAATGATGTACATGACAAACGTTTTGTTGGTTATTTACTGTAACTGATAATTAAGTTATGGAGTTCTAGTGAGAAGTAGTGGCCAGTGGAGTTCAACCAGGTCTGTTGTGAGATAGTAACTCAATGAAGACAATGGCGAATGTGTCACTCAATTTCGTGGATTAGTTGAAGTTAGACATTAACACCGTTAAATGTTAGCTCAGGGGTGTAATCGTTAAGTGCTTGGGCGCGAGACTGATAGGTCCTTGGTTCGAATCCCATAAGGCGGGTTGTAGATGCACACTGCTGAGGAGTCACACAGTGGGAATAAACGGTTGTCCAGTGCTTCCAGGTTTTGCATGGTGATCTAGCTTCAGTTCACTTATGATATCAACCATCAGAAATTACCATTATATCCACAAAGCCCCTTCTGAAATCATGTTATTCTCATGAGTATAAACATCATTTACTTATCTAAATGGGTCAAACAGAATTAGTTAGTCAGTTAGTCAATGGATGTTATGTATTATTCAACTAACCTGTACAAATAAACGAATGCTTGTTATTTGCAATTCGATGTTTGAATTAATGCAAAGCTGTTCAGTCTATTGGTTTACACTCACTCACTCACTCACATCCTCTCTCATACAAGTCCACCCTAACTTGCCTACTACAATACACATAGACAATATGGTGAGATAAGGTCAACCTAGTTCAAATCTATTAGATAATATTATTATCTCACCTCTCAAATATCATGATATATTAGTTTGCCTTGAGGAATGAAATGTGTTAAGTTTTATTAGATAATTAATTCATCAGAAGACCACCATTCAGCCACACTAAACATCATGAACCCTATCAAATGATATATAACGAGTTTTCTGCATGGACAAAGGATGGAGTATGGAGATTCCCTGAAGATACATTAATTCAACAATTATTAACAACGTCTATCGCATCAATAGGACTGAAGTCCTCATATTAATAAGTTAGTGTATTGCTGACTTTATTGTTCCTGAGAACCACTGAATAATTCGTCACCGAGTCAGTTAGTTACTGCTAAACAAAATCCTACCTGAATCATTGGTACTCTATAGACTGTTATCTAAAAATCCGGATTGAATCCTCCAGGGAGCATCAGTTTCCTCAAGATTACAGGTACACCTTGCTGACGAATGCCAAGTAGCATGAAACTTTCCTCCAGGGTTTCCTTTTGACTACCTTCAACCACCATTTTATCTCAACATAGTGCACGTAATATCGAGTCACATAGACTAGTGGTTATATTGCAACTTGGTCGATAGGATTCAGTTTGCACTATAAAAGACCTGATAGACACCCAGTGATCAATCAAATGTAGAAATAACCTCATCCAAACTATTTGACTTTAAAATTATAACTTCATCAAAAATACACTTGAAACTCAGTTTGCTATGAATCAGTTCTGAATAAATATACCTGAGAGAAACATTATACAAAGGATCTATTTACGCTTTATTAACTATTAAAGTAGGTTCTAACTAGTGTAATTTTTCGAAATTTTAATTCATATGTATTATCAGAAGGGATCATAGGTGCCCACTCCTGAAGAGTCCCATACTAGGACGAAATGCCTGTCAAGTCCTTTCAGGTTTTCCATGGTGGTCTAGCTTCAATTGACCCATGATTTCAACCATTGAAATTTCATACGTATTCGTTGTTTGAACCTTCCCATCAATGTTTAGGACTATGATTGATCAATTCCTGACGACATATGTGCATCCTGTTCAAATTGCCAATATCCAGGCACAAACTAGTGGCTATCTGAATTCAATGCCTGAGTGGTTAGATAATATGATGGTATTTGAAGCGAATGAAACGAAATACGAATCTTGGAGTGAATATCAATTTCTGAAATATGGCAGGTACATTCAGCTAACGAGTCACAAATACGAATAAACGTGCGTCCTGAATCGCACTACTTTACTTATAATACTTGTGACTGAAGGCAATATCGAAACAGTCCATACAAGATGCACATATGCCAATATGAGACTGATCAATTACAGTTCTATACAACAGTGAAAAGATACAAATAAACATATACATACCTGCTTGAATAATAAATCTATTTGCTGACTGACTATCAAATCCCACTGAACTAGCTATACATGTGAATTTCCATAAATGAAGATGAAAATTAACATTTTTCAATTTCATGTGATCATCTATATCAAGATGATTTTCATGATCTTTGAAATATTGTTTATCAATAATCCATAAATTCTTTGAATTCACTGTAATCATTTCTAATGAAGATTGTAGTTGATTCAAGTTAAGTTGTAAATTAGAACCATTTGATAAATAAACTTGTGTATCATTTGATTTCCATGTAAACCATTCAATTTGACCAGATGGATTAAAATCTGTTTGACACTAATATGAAATGAAAGAAGAAATGAATTTGTAAGTTAGAAAAGGTCAACCGTAAAAATGCACATCCTGCCTTATCTGTCTCCGGCGGTAAGATTTCAATAAGTACGGATATAACATGAAAATTGCTCATAAAAAAGTGATGTATAACCGACCTCAAGCAGTTGTCCCTTGGGTATTGCAGTCATGCTTTCAGGTCAATAAGACCACCCCTAATCCAATTTTCTATTTAGGTACCTCCCGAAGAATCCTTCCACGGTATGTGCAACCGGCAAGTGATAACTACCCTCATATCTCTAACAGCACTCAAGATCAGTAGGTATCATTATCATGGTTTGACTTGATAATTTCAAATAAATTAAGCACCGGATAGATTATAATCAGAGAGGAGTCTTGTGAAGAATGTAATAACTTAATAATTGAATTTATGATTCAATTGAAGCTAGAGCACTATGGAAAACCTAGAAGCACTGGACAGCCGTTTCGTCATAGTGTGGGACTCCTAGGTAGTGTGCATCCACGAGTTCCATACTAGGATGAAACGGCCGTCCATGGCTTCCAGGATTTCCATGGTGGTCTAGTTTCAGTTTACCCATGAATTCAATCATTTAATTACTGGGTAGATTGTTATAAATAAAAATAATATATCTCAATGAGTAGGAAAATCACATATTCTGATGTTTCGTGACGCAGTGTAAATCACTTCTTCAGAGAATAAATAATCAAGTCAAAATCAATCCAAGTTTAAATAATACAAGTGAAGAATGACAAATTTAAGGTCAATAAGAACCAATCAACATCGAGGTGTACAAGAAAAGCTGCGGAACGCATATGAGGAAATTCGAATACTTCACTTCTATCTAAAGTTTGTGATGATGATTTCGTTTAGAAAAACGATGAAAGCTCCACGACCAAACCATCTAGCTCAGAGAACAAAACTCCATCAAAATCATCTACCTGAGCTACAAATCAAACCATGTCAACTAATATTTTCTGTAATGCCTAGTATAAGCATTTTAGAAATTGATATTGCATTATAGTTGAGCTGTTGATTGAACTTGGAATTTTACCACTAAACACCGAACCAGTAATCATAGTAATTAAGAGCTCGTTACATAAACTGATGATTCAGGGTTCTATCCCTGGTGTGTCCATAGGTGTTCATTCATAAAGAGTTATGTACTATAAAGAAACGACCTTTCAACGTTACTTCATCCGAGATTAATCCTTGGCAATACAACTCATAAATAGAATTAATCAACTAAAAATCATTTCAACTAAGCTTATATTAACAAGAAACCTTTAATTTTCTACATTTCACTTACCCTTAATGTTATCTCTTGTGTTATATACAGATTATTTGTAGATTTTGTCCAACAGAGCATTTTCAATGTCTTTCCAAATATTGAACAAGGGTACAGTATATAAAACTCATCGTCTCGATTATCTATATTTGGTCCATCTATAACAAAAGATTAGAATTTATACAATTTAAACAATAGTTGCTGGGTTCGAATCTCACGAGGCAGGATTGTGGATGAGCACCGCTGTAGAGTCCCACATTAAGATGAAATGACTGTCCAATGCTTCCAAGGTTTACAATGGTCAAAAACTTAATAATCTTCACAACCCTATACTGATCATGTCGAATAGTTTACCCTTGGGCTTGTTTCACTTGTTTATTTTAAGTACATGAATGAATTATACACGAAATACGTAATCATAGGTTAACTGATGTGTACTTTAACGGAAAGTTAAAACAGTATTATTTCAATTGCAATGAAAATATTACATATGCTTTACACAAGATATGACAGTCTAGGGTTTAAACTGTTACGAGTTCATGGATATAAACTACTGATGAATCCTAGAACAGGACGAAGAAGCTGTATAGCAACTATTAATATTCAAAGGTTATCTAGCTGACAACAATTCATGATGCACATCTTTTATTCTGAGTAAATCTAATCTTGAGAAACCTCCAAATTTAGCATCATATATAGAAAATATGGAATGCTGCTAATAGTGGAATCAAGAACACACGTTTCACTCGGACTAAGATTCAACAATTGAAAGTAGATTCATGACTAATTTGATGTTTACATATATCAATCAAAGCTGATAAAATTTCAGTCAAAAGGATCAACAACAGGACAGTTCGAACCATTCTAAAGTAAATCAAGCATCCTATATATATATATACTTAATTTGCTTTTTGACTTACAATGAATATTTAAATCAATATGACCCATTGAAGAAATCATTACTGGATCATCTACAGAATCATCTTCTATATCATTATGAACATCATAAATTTGCTTTCTCCAACTTCTCAATGATGCCACAGATGATGTCTCAGTTATCATGGAATCAATTTTATTGATTGTATCATTTTTCATTCTAATCAATATTTGACAATAGATTCTTCCTTTATGAAATTTTCGATGTGGTACAAATTCTATAATATGATATTTCAATTGATGATGTAATATCATTAATTTTGAACGGATTCCAGATGATAAAACAGTGTTGTGAGAATGAGTATTCAGTTGTTGAATAGTTGATAATGAACTTATATTGAATAATATATCAGTATGATTAGTATTATTTGACATTTGAATAAAAAATCTGTAATTACAAAATAACCGGTGAAAAAGACATACAGAATATTGAAGGATTTCAATCAAGTGCTTAGTTTATTGAAAAGTTGTGAGATAGTAACTCACTGATAACAATGCTTGACAGTGGTGCAACTTCATGAATTGGTTGAAGTTAGATATTAACACCGTTGGATGCTACACAGTTTAGTGGTCTTGAGGTTAAGCACTCGCACACGAGAGTGATAGGTCCTGGGTTTACATCTCATGTAGCGGAATCGTAGATGCTCACTGCTGAGGAGCTACACAATAGGACGAAACGGCTGTTCAGTGCTTTCAGGTCTTTCATGGTGGTCTAGGTTTAATTGACTCATGATCTCAACTATTAAAATTACTATAACATTCAGAAAACCCCTTTCTGATATTAATCAACATATGCTCACTAGTGACTGGCTTTAGGAGGTATTCCCTGGAGTTGTAGTGGGAAGCAGTGATCAGTGGAGTGCAAACGGTAATGTTGTGAGATAGTCACTCACTGAAGACTTAGTAAAATAGAAAGACCATAGTGTAATACTTAATTTGTAAAATGTTCATTAATTGTCTCAGGATTCGTCGTTCCTGCACCTTCATACCAATTACTTTCTATTCTCATTCTTCCCTTCTTGATCTTTTTAATCTTCTGCTGTCAGACATTATATTTCTGACTCGCGTTATATATTACTTATGTCAATATCAGTACCATACACCATAGAAGTACTATGTGATAAGCTTAATTCTATGGAATTCCATTGACATATCATGAATGAGATGTTTCTTCAAAAGTTTAACAACATAAACTAATTGAATTTACAATGGATGGATAAAGTGATATCCATGTTGATCATTGACAATTATCTCTTACATTCCTGTTACTTTTAAAGCTACAGTCATAATCAATAATATTAACTTCTCAGAATGGGTTTTGTGGAGAATTTTAGAATTTTCACAGTTTTTTGAAATCATGAGTCAGTTGAAGCTAGACCACCATTGAAAACCTGGAAGCACTGGACGGCCGTTTCGTCCTGGTATGGGACTCCTCAGCAGTGCGCATCCACGATCCCGCACCACGCGGGGCTCGAACCCAGGACCTACTGGCTTCGCGCGCGAGCACTTAACCACTAGACCACTGAGCCGGCATCCAACGGTGTTAATGTCTAACTTCAACCAATCCACGAAGTTGCGCCACCGTACACCATTGTCTTCAGTGAGTTGTTATCTCACAACAGACCGGTTGAACTCCACTGGTAACGGCTTCTCACTAGAACTTCAGGAGTTTTTCCTGAAGTCAGTCACTAGTGAGCAGTTGATTATTATTATCATCAGAATGGGTTTTGTGGAGAATTTTAGAATTTTCACAGTTTTTTGAAATCATGAGTCAGTTGAAGCTAGACCACCATTGAAAACCTGGAAGCACTGGACGGCCGTTTCGTCCTGGTATGGGACTCCTCAGCAGTGCGCATCCACGATCCCGCACCCCTGCGAGATTCGAACCCAGGACCTCAATTTCGTGGATTAGTTGAAGTTAGACATTAACACCGTTGGATGCCGGCTCAGTGGTCTAGTGGTTAAGTGCTCGGGCGCGAAACCAGTAGGTCCTGGGTTCGAGCCCCGCGTGGTGCGGGATCGTGGATGCGCACTGCTGAGGAGTCCCACAATAGGACGAAACGGCCGTCCAGTGCTTCCAGGTTTTCCATGGTGGTCTAGCTTCAACTGACTCATGATCTTAACCATTGAAATTACTACAATCTCCACAAAAAGCCATCTGATAATAATAACTTCTGTCAATATTTAACTACTTATATTATCTTCATCATTAGTAATGATATTGACAAGAAACAATAGTAGATAATTTATAACTCACGTGTATTCATAATTTACATGAATAGGTACATTAATCTTTTCACAAAAACATCCAAGTTGAATTGAACGATTCTCTATGAATATCATTGAATGTTCAATAGATGAAGTAAACATTGTTTTTAGATTTGAATAGATTTCTATATACACTTTATCAATATCTGAAATAAAAAATGAATTTTCAACATGAACAGAACTAGAACAATCAATAGTTTTCTTTAACATTACTATTAATAAACAAACTAATAATGGGGATTCTTGTCAAATTTCCCAAACGATCTTATACTTCCAAACATGTATCTCTGGTTACAAAAAGATTTCTTTATAAGCTCTTATGAATCTGTTTATGGAAATGTTTGACGAATGTCACTGTAATCTGTTTGTTCTCAAATTCGATTTCATGATTGTCTTATATGATTACTTATTGTTGTCTATTACCTTCCTTATTTAATGTAAGTACAGTTAATTCTCTTATTAAGTTATCAAATTACCTTTACTTTCGTAATTCTCTTTTTACAGCTCTTTACAGTAACGCTACTCTGTATGCTCCCACAGAACATAAAGGATCTTCTAACTAAACCTTACACGACGACAGTGGTTCACATACTTCTCTACATCTCCATTATATGTAGGAACATGACGCAACTACCATAAAACTGACACATTAAATACATTTCGAGATGAGAAAGCTATTTCATAGAAACATTATTGATCGTACCTTTGCCTGGAGCCCCTCTGGGGCTACTGCCGGTCCCAAGCCCGGATAACGGAGGAGAGTTGAGCATGGGATTAGCAACCCCATCCCGTAAAAACTAACACGTTACAAAAACAGCTAACCAGAAAAAATAATTCAAACCACTTAAACTCTGACCTGGGAGTCAGAAGGTCTTCACTTAAAAGAGTTATGACGCTTCATGGTGAAAACCAAATTCCTTCGGAAACCACGAGGCTGATACTCGAGAATTTCATCATAATATTATTTAATCTATTCTGAGTATTCCTAACTGTCATCAAGTAAATGATATTGAAACTAATTAGTGTCATTATTATCATTATCACTACTAAAATGGGTAATCCATCTTGAAATTTGTTTAAAAGGTATCAAAGATTTCAGTAAATGGATTTGATAATTAAGGAGAATGCATGAAGTTTTATAAAAAGTACACTATTGTAAAGTAGTTGTCATTGTATAATGCAGAGACTAATTTTGTTTGATAATTAATCATGCCATTGTCAAATATGACTCTGTTAGAACTTGTGGCCTGTATGCCCTGGTAATGAATAATGTGATGATACTACCAATTAGAGAGAAGTGAATTATCCATCCGACCAATGACGCATAAAACACGTGCAAGCAGTCTAAAATACTTATCGGTCCTGCTTCCTGCCTAGCCCAGCCAGTTAAGTCCAGAACACTAATCTTAGCCTCTGCGATATCAATCCCTTATTTCAAACATACTGGATTTATATACCAACCAGCTAGACCACACCGCACCATAAAATAGGAAACAACATTTGTATAAGATTTATCCAAATGTGGCGGTGAATAAGGTTGATAGTAATTAATAGACTGGGCATAACTCAAGAACGGTAAGTCGTATAATAACAATTTATAGATCAAACTAAAGCCCATAATAAGAAGGACACGAATATGAATAGTTTAGTTACTTAACAGTTATACGATAAAAGTATATGCATAGTATTGGTGCATAAATTGATCCCAAAAGTTACTATTCATTATTCTTATCGTGATATAACAGACTCTTATCACAGTTCAAATAAATAGTTCAACATTTCATTGAAAACTTGAATAGAGAAGAAGAAGAAGAAGAGAAGCAGATTTTACGAATGAGGATAATAACTCTTTTTGCTGATCTTCAGTAAAAGACTAAACTAATTAAAAAACAGGATGAAGATAGAAATTAGATGAAGTATAACTTTTTTACAATTGATTAATCGCTGCGTAGTGGCCAGTGTCTTATATGTCAAATCCTGCTTATAGCGGTTTGAAGTCTATTGATCAGTTTACAATGTGGCCACTAGTCTAAGAGATTAAATATACCATTTATCACTTTGAGATGTAAGGTGATGGTTAAAGGTAGTCGATAGGAAATTCTGGACAATTGTTTCGTTCTATTTGGCACTCGTCTATAAGGTGTATCAATAATCTTGAGAAAACTGATGCTCCCTGACGAATTTGATCCGTATCACCCAGTTTTGCATTTAGAGAAGTTATCTCTGAGCTACCAGGGCTGCGATCAACCTCCCGTAAATATTTAGTTATGTGACCTCTTCGAATTGATCGTATGATTTATGTTTATCGATTGAGTAAGCTGCATTGAGTTTGTTCGTGGAACGTATGAAATGCGCAAGGTTCTTCATCGACTTAGTTTGAATCTTTAGGTTCGTCTTCGGGAATGTCACTTTTGTGTGGTCCTTTATATTGACACTAATTAGATTGCACGATGATGTTTTCGACAGGCTCACCACTTTTAGTGACCCGATACCTTACTTTAATCGGATCGTACGTTGATTGTTGCTGAAATATACATCCCGGCTACCCTCGTAGATAAATATAGATTTAAATCGCGTTAGTGAATAACGGGATTAAATAAGTAAAATACGAGAACAAATTTCGAATACGTATATTTTGTACAAACAATGTTCTGGACAGACAGTCAGGGAAACGAAGCAAAGAGAAAAGGGTGAAGCGAAATGAAGTGACGCGCAGTGGAGAAGGCAAGTGAGCTAACTAAATTTAACTAAGCATGACTCTATATTTACGGCCAAAAAAATAACATACGGACACATGATGAACAGGGTAAGTAAATAACATACATATGACCACGTGGAAAAACAATGAGGTTTATTAAGAAAATAAGTCACAGGGTTGAAATGTGTCTTGTGAAGGATGAACAAAGTGGTCAGTCCAAAGGCTAGAATGACCTATGTGGGATTGACATAGTACCAGCCCCTTCAAATATATATCAGTCCTACAGGAGGTCAGTTACGGCCCTGATAGGTCAGTGATACCTCCCCTAAATGCTAAACTGGATGATACGGATCGAATCTGTCAGAGAGCATCAGTTCCCTCAAGATTATTGATACACCTTATGAACGAGTGCCAAATAGAACGAAAAAATTGTCCAGGATTTCCTATCGACTACCTCTAACCACCACCTTAAAACTTTGTTTTCGAAATATGCTGGTCATGACATTTGACTAGCATGATACCTATAAGCCATTTTCACATGGGAAGTTATTTAATGAACGATGGACAGTGTTGGTCAGTTAAAGTTATTTGAATCAAACCATTGATTAATGTTAACAATCTCTCTAGAAATCCGTACACTGGAAGGTCGTTTTTAACTTATTTGTACATAAATTTATATTTAGATCATCATATCTTTCCGTCTTAAATCATTCCACACAATTCTGTGAGCATTTGAACAGTGTTGAACAATCGTGTCTCAACCAGAAACTACGTCGCACATACAATTATAATGAAGTATCAATAACGATGAACAATGAAGTAGTCTTTCGGCTTTATCGTTTATCGACAGTTAAATATTTTTACTCTGTTGTAATAACCAGTTATATGGATAAGATTTATGAATCATTCATCAACATTCGAAGTTAATGCCTGATAATTAAGTTTATTTTTCACCTATCATATCAGTAAGAAATCATGTTTTCATAACTAAATCATTGTTGAACTACTGAAATTAAAATAAGTAGCTCAAAGTCAGTTGATTGAAATCTTTAGTTTAATGTTGGTAAGAATTGCTAAGAATTCAATGAATATTCATTGTGTTTCTGGTTTATATTAGTTTATCAAATGACATTGATTACTTAAAAAAACAACTGCAGACTGGCCATTTCTATGAAATCAACAGTGATTAGAAAAACATGAGGATTAAGTGCTTGTAATTTGAAATTTATCCACAATTGAATAGAAAACGTTTACTGAAACTAAAAGATATTCATACCATTAAAATTTACTTTATCAGACGTCAGTAACCCTAACTTGATGGATTTTACTTGAACATTGCTAAACATACGTTCACAACATTATCACTATTCTCTGGATGTTTTGAATAATCCGATGATATAATCATATTGTCTATACTGTACTTGTACTACAACTGAATACAGTATCGTTTGAAGGAGTTTTCAAACAGACTGGTCTTCGAAATATTGCACTATATCTCTTTTGATGTTCAAACAAATCAAGATCTGGTTTGTATCTTGGTTGAACAGGACTTCTTTGTACATGATCATCATGTTTCAGTAAGAAATTCTTTGAATGATGAGAAAACTCTTAGTAGTTATAAATATCAGTCCATAAGTAATGAAAACAAATTAAATATCTTGTTATGTCAAGTATTGACTCAACTACTCTAATATAAGTTTTTCAACATCCATTGGGAATTAACACTACTTATTGCTTAAGTATTACATATACCTCTGAGATATCTATAGTGGTATTATGGTAAATGAATCGTTTATTACTAACTAATGACTACAATGCAATACCACAATTATTCCCGATATTAAGGATGAATATTGAATCTTGAGTCTGGTTGTATTTGTTGGAAACTAGATCTTTCAGTTATGGTTAATGAGTCCTTTAATAATGGTCTATACTTGGACGCAAAATGAATGTAACATTATATCAAAATTATAACTATTTAACCAACTTTCTACTTGACCACTTGTTATATCTACTATATATACGAACTAATCAAAATCTGAACCTAACTAAACAATAAGAGTCATTGCCAGTGTTTAAAACTTTGTTTAAATATTCAAGACTTGTAAACCTATAAGTAGCCTATTTCTATTTCCTATTATCTATGTAAATTTAGCTGGTGACAGATTACACTGAACTCATCTTTACACAGAAGAAAATGGACTAATTTGTATATCTACAGCAATATTTCTTAATATTCAATAAGTGCGCTGTGTCTAACATCAATCGTTTTACAAGCTTCAATAGATCTTTATACTTCAGCTTTTCATCCACAATGTTACAATGCTTTATTTATTGTAGACAGTCGTGGATAAATTTCGACATTCGAAGTGCGATTTCCAACAAAGTGTCTACTTCAATATTTGACATTCACCCACTAAATCAATGGGATAATGGTGATAAATGTTGAATTCAGAATACTTGTAGCGGTAAATAAATCCACAAAATCAATAGCTTTCTAAGTCTTAGACATTTGATAATGACCACAATGATTTTAATGGATTCACCTAGATGAAGGCGCTTGGTCACGCATCCGAACCAGATCACAAGTAAGAACGAGGTGCTCAACTTATCCTACAACCTCTAGCTAGTTTAGATCAGTCACTTCGTGATATATTGATAACTTACCAGTTATATCTTTGAACCTTCTCACTTTTGACTTTTGATTACACTAAATGGGTATGATTCATAATAGGTGTTACTGGTTGAACCGTTGTCAAACTCCAAATACCTATGGCATTTTCATACTCAATGAAACATTAAATATGTTACCAAAAGTAAACTTACATAAAAGATGAACAGTGATTATGCTAGATCTAAGTGATGTATTTCCAAAATTAGAAGTTCTGTTAGATTGAATAATATTTGCATTATCATTATTATCATTATTATTGTTATTGCCTAGTATGTAATCATGTTGGTTTTCTAATGAACACATAATTGGAATTTGATTCATTTGTATTCCATGAAACGTAAGACTTAAAATAGACCAAGTTTTAAATCTAAAAGAAAAAAATTGAAAAATTATAAAATATACAAGTTAATTACGATAATATTAAGGTAAGTAATAGTTTGATACACATCTATAGAACCAAAGGATAGGTTTAGTGCTCAGCCGTTTGTTCCGTTCTACTTTATGGCAATGAAACATGGCCGGTAACAGTAGAGGATATTCGTAGGTTACTAGTATTTGATCATAGGTGTCTTCGAAACATTGCTTGTATATCCTGGGAACACCGAGTAAGTAATGCAGTTGTTAGGAAACGTGTACTAGATAAAGATGGCAAATCGATTGATTAAGTAATGAAAATTCATCAGTTGAGATGGATGGGTTACATGTTAATTATGCCCAACCAGCAACTGCTCAGTCGTGCGATGTTTTATGCTGTAGGAGTAGGTTGGAAGAAAGATGGGGGCGGCCAGATCAAAACATAGCACAAATCCATGAAGTCACTGACAGGTGGACTGAGCCATGTTGGTAGGTGTAGACTACCTGGTTGGGATCCGCGAAAAGATAGCAACCGATGGTTAGAGACCCTGAATGACATGGCTCAAAATCGTTTGCAATGGCGCAAGTGCATTCACTCTTTGTGTCCTCCCAAATTCTAATCTTTTGTATTCTCCTTGTCTCTTGTTTTTCTCTTTCCAAATTTATTTCGCTAGAATATACCCATTGAATAACATCTTCAAACCCTAATCTTTACGATTACTGCTCATACTCTTACTACCTCTACCATTACGGGATTTGAATCGACAGCTGCATCTCTGTGCTAATATGGTATGTCAAATCGAACTGATGTACGTACGTACGAAGTTCTACGTTGTTACTGACTGACCGACTGACTGATAAGAAAAAAATAGATGATTGATTCATCTGTTGTGATGTAAAAGTTCTCATCATTATGAACTCATGTAAACAGGACTGAGAACATTGATTCATCCATGTGAACATAATACGTTTTACCATTCTTGAGTTATTCCCTGTCTGTAATTCACTACCTCCCTCATTCACAGCCACATCTGGCTAATTCTTGTACAAATGTTATGTCATATTTTATTGGTACGTTGTGGTCTGTTTGATTGGCATATAAACTCAGTATGTTTGAAATACAATGATTCATATCGATGAGGCTGAGATTTGTGTTCTGGACTCAACTGGCTGGGCTAGACAGGGAAACAGGGTCAGTCAGAACTCTAGGTCGTTCTTACGTGTTATACGCATCTTTGGTCTGATCGATAATACACTGCTCTCTAATCTTTCAGTGAAGGACACAACAATTGGCGTGGGATAAAAATCGATCGAAGTTCAAGTCACAACAATCATCATCATCATCATTAAAACTTTAATTCTCATGTGTGTGTGTGCTCTAAAATCAGTAAATCAATAAAAGTAATCGAAGGCAAATCACTTACAATTGAATACCTGAAGGCATATCATTAATTTGAATAAATTCAATTAATTGTGCTGTATATGAGAAATGATCAAGTATCATTGAATTATGTGTTTTATTTATAATATGACATCCATATTGTAAATTACAAAATTCCATATTTAACCAAGTGAATAATTCTTTTCTCTTTTGAAAACAATCATTTATATGTTGACATGATGATGATGATGATGATGATGATGATGATGATGATGATGACGACGACGACGATGATGATGATGATGATGTTGACGATGTCGACGTCGACGATGATGATGATGATGATGATGAATTTGTTGCATCATAATTTGTCATCTTTTCATTTTTAACCTGATATAGTACTTTATCATTTATGTACCATAATAATTGTCCTAATGGTTTACTCCATGATGATGTACTACATATAAATTGAATGGTTTGATTTAAATGAATCCATATTGATCGATTATTATTTAATTGATCATTTTGTACAGGATCATTTAATTGATTATTATGATTGTAGAAAAATCGATATTTGGCATTTTCATATAATAAAATATTTAAATGAATTGATTTTGGAGGAACTGAAGAAGAAAAAAAATTTGGAAGAATAATCAATGTGGAACTGATGAATGTTCGATCACTATTGAACACATGAATGTATTAGATGGTTGTTTAGTTTTAGTATAAGACTCATCAGTAGTGCACATTCACTGAAGGAATTTGAACTCAGAATCTTCGGTCTTACATGCGAACAGTTAACTTGTAGATCATCAAGCCGACCAGTATTCAAAGGTGTTAATGTCTGATTTTAATCAATCCATGAAATTGCGCGACCATCTTCCATTTTCTATGGTAGATACCTGTCTTTATTTGACACAGATTAGCACAACTAGTCACAGCTTCTCACTAGAACTTCGAGGATTCCCTCATGAAGCTAGTCACTAGTGAGAACATAGTAATTATCAGTCTGAGGATATGGAGGTTATTAAGTTTTTGATTGAATTCACTAATGGATCAATGTTAGACCATCAATGAAAACTTAGAGATTAAATGTTCACACGCGATATCGAAGGTCCTAGGTTCGAATCCTGAGTGCAGGATTGTGGCTGAGCACTTTCAAGGAGTTTGAAGGTTATTGAATTCAACTTTCAATTAGAATTTCATATAGTTTTTTAAAGGTATTGTGTTTTAATTTAAAAGACAGAACATGCTTACTAATTGTCACACAGCAAGTGTTACTTTAAAAGGAGCAAGTAGATTTACACTTGATAAATAAGTTACATATTAACAATAATATTTACCACTATAGTGGACATTTCCATAAAGAATAGATATTAGTTAGAAGACTATCTTTGAAATAACTGACAACTTTTTATATTTAATGATAACTTGTCAGTGTTTCCAGTATTTAGAGTACACGGAATGATTGATCACTGAGTAGTAGTATCAGTGTCATATAGTTGTATTGAAAAATCCTGATCGAATTCTATAAATTATATCTTCATTGTCACCATTTTACTGAGTGGCCTAATTTGGTGGTATAATTTGTTATATGACAAATTGCTTATGGGATAATCAGTAGGAAAACAAAGACCGATGTTTTCAATTGATTACCACTTGTGAGTTAATTATACTAGCAATCTGCAGAGTATTAGTAATTAATGTAGTATTTTAATTAGCGGTAACTTCATAAGCGTGTAATTATACATCCGAATTAGTGGACTATATCATCATTCAGCATGATCGGAATACTAAATTATCTTGTAAGTGTTTATATCTTGTCATCGATACTAATGAATGCTAAGCATATCTTTTTAATATTGTGAATATCTGGTAATATCAAGACGCTCGGGATGCACATATACTTAAAGTGATTGATCAATTGTTTTCCTTATTGTGAATGTAAAGATACAAACATCTATAAATAAAATTTACCCCAAGAAATAGATTGTGGTAAACAGTGAAATCTAGGATGAGCGTTTCGTCCTATTTGGGACACGTCAGCTGGTTGTACTTGCATCTCAGAGTTAATGTTTACTCCGTAACTCTAACCTAGTACCGTTCCCTTCAAACGCTATAGCACTATCCACTTTGCTATTAAGTCTTCACAGCCACTAGTTTGTATAATGGAATGAAGTCTTAATTCACAGATTCATTTCTACTCATCATGCTTATGATTTGTTAATTTAAAGATCTGTAATGTCATCAATAAAACAGGTTACCTAATTCTGAAATTGACTAAATTAAAATCATTTCTGATATGTCTTTAGGATAATTCCACTCTCCATTATATCTTCATGAGGTAAAATCATAATAAACACATATGTCAGTTAATGGAGTTCATGACATTTGGTGTAATATAATGGACGTTGAATATCTATTATATTGAATTTAATGTAAGTTAATACATTAAATTCCTTCAGGCAAACAAATATAACTTGATATTATTTATATTTGAGAGGTGAGATAATAATATTATCTAATAGACTTGAATTAGGTTGACCTAATCTCACCATACTATCCATATATATTGTAGTATTCAAGTTAGGGTGGTCTTGTGTGCGAGAGGATGTGAGTGAGTGAAGACCCATCACTGAGATACATAATTTCACACTAATCTAGGTTAGTTGAATAATACACAACATCTATAGACTAAATGACTAACTAATTCTGTTTGACCCATTTAGACAAGTAAATGATGTTTATACTCATGAGAATAACATAATTATCAGTTACAATAATAGAGAATATTTTTATGTTCTGTAAATAATCAGTCATCTATTTCTTATGAATCGTCGTCAATTTATGTTGTGATCGTTATGGAATCGATTAAATGTAAAATGGTGAATAACACCTTTGTATCGCTACCTGTATTTAGAATGGTGATAACAAAAGTTACTTAATTATTATAAAATGTAACGTTACTTTTGTGGAGCCCCGTTAATAAATCTTCACTTAGATCGAACGATAATGTCGAAAGGGCTCTCCACTTTAGTGGCCCGAAATCTGACTCCAATCAGATCGTATGAATGTTTGTTATCGACTATCCTCGTTTATAATCATCGACTTTATTCGCTTCAGTCAATAACGGAACTAAATAAGTCGAATAACGAGAATGGACTTTCGAATACACATATTTTGTGTATGAAGCGAATGGGATAGCGAGAAGAGAAATGACGCGGAGTGGAGATAGCTGGTAAGCCAACTCCCATTTAACTAAGCTTTAATCAATATTTATACTTGCACAAAAGTAAGTTACAGACATGTGATGAGTAATGGGATAAGAAATGTACACACAGCTATGCGCTCATAGAAAAACAGTCAAGATTGATAAGCGAATAAATAACAAGATCAGAATGTGACTCAAGCAGAATGAATAGAATGGGTTGTCTGAAAGCTAGAATAAGGTATCTAGGCTTAACATAATAACCGATACTACATTACTTCGATAGGAGTTGAATAGTTACATGAATCTTCTTAAATAGATGCTGTCAGTGAAGTCAATCAATTTGAAAAGAGTTTCATTTACAGCTGATATAAAAAAACAAATCTAAAGATCACTAAACAGAAACTTCATTCTATTTTATGATGAAACCCGTTCTGTTCAAGCGTATTAATCTTCAACAGTGTTCACCCGTACAATTATTCAACATCGCACCTCAATATTTGTTACAATGTGACTTATCAACCAACACAGTTCAAAGGGGACTTGATATCGTTTGATTTTTCAGTTAGTCCTTAGTTTGTCTGACTCCATTGTATTAGTACACCCTAGATTGATGTTAAGTTATTGTCGAGTTTCTTCGTTTTAACTAATATGATTAAATAACGTTTCATTATTAAGCTCGATATTCTATTCACATATGAAGAGATAAATCTACCATCTAAAATTTAACTACTTTTACAGTCTGATTATCGACTGGATCATCAAAACATCAACATCTGGGGTAAAGCATGGGATACAATGAACTTTTAGTATGCAGCTGGACGATCTAGACTTCGGAGATGATCTAGCTCTTCTATCATATACGCGACAACATATGCGGGAGAAAACAACCAATGTAGCAGCAGTCTCAGCATGCACAAAAGGGAAAAGCAAGATTCTCCGATACAACACAGCATGCACCAATCGAATCACAATTGACGGAGAAGCTTTGGAAGATGTAAAGACCTTTACATATTTGGGCAGCATCATTGGTGAACACGGTGGATCTAATGCAGATATGAAGGCGCGGATCGGCAAAGCAAGAGCAGCATATTTACAACTGAAGATAATCTGGGAATCAAAACAATTGTCAACCAACACCAAGGTCAGGATTTTCATTACAAATATCAAAACAGTTTTATTGTATAAAGTGGAAACTTGGAGAACTACGAAAACCATCATACAGAAGATACAAGTGTTTATTAACAGTTGTCTATGCAAAATACTTCGTATCCGTTGACCAGACACTATCAGCAACAACCTACTTTGTGAGAGAACAAACCAGATCCCAGTGGAGGAAGAAATCAGGAAGAAGCGTTGGAAGTGGATAGGACACACATTGAAGAAATCACCCATCTACGTCACTAGGCAAGCCCTCAAATGGAATCCTCAAGGCCAAAGGAGGAGGAGTGGAAGACCAAAGAACACAATACACCGAGAAATGGAGATAGACATGAGAACAATGAACAACAATTGTATAGAACTAGAAAAGAAGGCTCAGGACAGAGTGTGTTGGAGAATGGTGGTCGGCGGCCTATGCTCCATTGGGAGTAACAGGCTTAAGTAAGTAAGTACAGTCTGATTTTCCATTTAATTATCTTGTATAAACCTTCACAAACTGATGAATTAATAGATTTAAGACAACAATTCAGAAATAACTAACCATTATTATAATATAGTCGATACATTATTTCATTGTTAACTTACCAATAACATTTAAGTATGCGGTATTACTTTTAATTAAACTCATTGGTAAATTAAATAAATCATGTATTGATGAATCAAAGTGATTGGTCATATTCGATTTTATTGATTTTCGATAAAATTTTGATTGATTAACAAATTGATATAAATAATATGGTCTCTGTTGAGAATTTGCCTTTTTTACCAATCTAGCTTGACATGCATATTCACCTTCATCTTCAAAACGAATATTTTTAATCATTAAATCATATACATCTATAATAGAATGAATATGAGTTATGTAAGATACTCTTAAAAACCAAAATTCAAGTTCATTATTACCTGTTTATATTCATTGAATGTTATTGAATACAAATGAAATAATCCTTGCAAACCTTATGACTGAAATGCCCCCAAATGCTCTGGTATGGCCGAGAGTGGAGTGGGCACGCCCTCCCTCTCGAAGAACTCTCACACGGCCACTCGTATACAGCCTCTGCCAAAGAAGTCCTACTCACTGCCTTCTCGTGGCCAGGGTGTTGTTTACGGAAATGAAAGGACGAAAAGCGAATGTCCGGCGCTTTACACGAATCCCAAACCAATGGTACACGTGGGCTCCAGTATCCTGTGGGAACAAATTGCGTATGAACCAATCGTTGGTCACCGGCTACCATGGGACTGCATCTACTTACGATGTCCACTGCCTTGTGGATCAGACTTTTTGGTCAAAGGCTCGGGGTGTGGCCCCCTAAGGAAACCATCTGCTTCGGTCTGGGCACCCGGGCAGTATCACAACCCTCACACATATCGAATGAGATCTGTGTGGCGCATATGTATCTGGTGCCCCCTTGTACCAACATTTGTGTTCAAATAAATAACAAATAAATATGACTGAAATATGGTTAGTCCATTTAATTTCCATCATTTTAATGAAAGTAACAAAGAAGCTTCAATATTGAAACCTCTCATTATGAAACCTGATGAATACATGAATTATCAGTATAGCGTTGTGTAGATTATTAAGTTATTGATTGGGATCTTGAACAAATTGATGTTAGACCACCACTGAAAACCTGAATGCATTGGACGGCCTTTTCGTCCTATTATTGTGGGACTCCTCAGCAATGCTCATACACGATCCGGCTCGCGGGACTCGAACCCAGAGCTCAAGCTCTCAATCGATAACTTAATAATCTCCACAACCCTATACTGATAATTATCATGTACTCATTAGTGACTAACTTCGCTAGGGAATTCTTGGAGTTCTATTGAGGAGTCGTGGCCAGTGGAACTAATCCGTGTCGGGTAGAAACAGGTATCTACCTCAGTACAATGGAAGACGGTCGCTCAATTTCGTAGATTGGTTGAGGTTAGACATCAACACCGTTAGATCCCGGCTTAGCGGTCAAGTAGGTTAGGCGTTCGCGCGCGAGACTGAAGATCATGGGTCCGAATCCCGCGGGCGGGATCGCGGATACACATTGTTGAGGAGTCCCACTATAGGACGAATACATGAATAACATAAGATTACCGATCAAAACAGATACACTTTAGATAAGGAGGTAATACAACTAGAACAAAACATTCTTACTGTTTATCAAAAAAGAAGGAATCCACTGGTAAATATGTAGAGCATTTTAAATTATTCAATTATTACAGGAAGAAAAATTAGATATTATCATCCATGAAAAAAAGTCTATGTACTGAACAGTAACTGGAGATACAAAAAGTGGGCAAACTACAAATAAAACTTATATGTATAAGAAAATGGTTACATAGTTCATTAGTTGATAGTCAAGTAAATTCAAGCTGAACCAAAGTCAAACTCAATTACTGTGGAATGTAACTAGCACTGGAATATTTAAGACTTGTCAGCTCGATGTACATGATCCCAGAATTGATATTCAGTTCTAGTATCGTTTGGCATATTAAGTAACTATCTGAACTTAGTAGCTATAAAGATAAAGTGATGGCGTTTGAGGTGAACGGTACTAAGTTCAAGTTCCGAACTTGATATTAACTCTGGAACATAGAGATGTCCAGCTGACAAGTTCATAACAGGACAAAACTCTGATCCTGGGTTCTACCTCTAGCCACATCTCATCTATTTCATACTTAACTTCTGTCATAATGATTTTATTGAAGCATTCCACACAGGATGCACATATGCCAACCAGGACTGATCAAGTTTCAACCAAAATATTAACAATAAAAATAGTTCAAACCATTACAAATTAAATGATTCACACAGATTGGTAATAAAGTTATGATCTGATTGATCATTACAGATCATTTACGAGCATAACTTATCGTTGATATAAATTTGATTGTTATCCTCAAAATATTCCACATTATCATTATCATACCATTCTGGTATTTCACCAACACTAACATTAACAAGAGTACATTAGACGCTATCCTAACATTACGTTCCCTTCATTATTTCCATCATTAATATCATACTCATGAAAATATCCATCGAAAACTTATATCTTAATTATTGGTGAAAGAGAAAACACGTTATACATGTATATAACTGTTTTTCTTGTCTCTTTTCAACATTCTCTTGACAAAAGATTTTAATAAATTTGGATAATGGTTAATAATAGTATCCAGGATGTCTGTTCCATCCTATTTGAAACTCCTGAAGACAGTTTTTATTGTTCACATTGAGATGAAAACTAAATATCGTTCATTTCAAACCTCAACGCATTATTCACTAAGCTACTGGGTTCAGATAGTCATTGGTTATTGTATAGTTTACCTCTGACTTACTGATAATATTAAGATAATCTTCTCGGAATGATCATCATCATCATCAATATTATTCAATACACTGTATTCATAATGATGCCCGTGTTCATTCTGTGCTATGATTGTAATCATATGTCAGTAGTTTAATTTCAGTAAAACAATTATTTACCTGGGTTCGAATCCCACGAGCAGGATCGTGGATGCACACTGCTGAGAAGTCCCACAATAGGGCGAAACGGTCGTCCAGTGCTTCCAGGTTTTCAATGGTGGTCCATGATCTCAATCAAGAAGTTATTCACCTATTTTTTCTTGTTTATTCATCTAGTCCCAACACATTCATTCTCTCTCTCACACACACATACACTGACATATTTGCCTATAATTAGTAAACACTAACAATCTTTAAAATTTGGTAAAATGTAAATAAGCAGATATATATGTTGATGCTATTATTATCACCATCATCGTTATTATTGACACCATTGTTGTTTTATTCTATTCCCCCACCCACCCTTTTTTTCTTCTTATATTTTGTCTACTCACTGTTTTCCCCACTGGACGGATTTTTATGATGTTTGTTTGAAATCACAAATAAGTAGTATTGTTTGTTCCGGTTAAAGTTAGTGTTTTTTTACTCTTTCAGTAATTATTTATTTACACGTTTTCATTTGATAAATTGTTATCTTCTCAAATTTCAAATGAAGATTTGATATCCAGTTGTTAATCACAGTAAATATAGAGGCTGAATATACTTCTTCTGGATACTTAAGTTCGATTTTCTAGTGTTGATTTAGATGGCTTCAGCTATGTAGAGTAACTGTAATTTAGCTTCTTTAGTTGGATTATTTGGATGTTGTTACAAAACGGATAAAGCTTGATCGATTTTAATATGATGTTCACGATCGACCAAGTAAAAAAGAATGAGGCTATTAACCGATCTAGTGACTCTTTTTCTGAATCATACTAGTACATGTTCACCAGTACACAAGGATAAAGCGTTCTGAGTATGACCTATTTAACTAAGTCTATAGGAGCATACATGAAGGAGCCCATCATCGGTAACCTATCATTGATTTGTTGTGTAAGTACTGGTTTGGCTGAGACTATATATAACTTGGAGGAAGGGAATGTCCTTTCAGCAGACCTTTTGAGTCAACTTGTTAAAATGTCACCTACTATATCCCCCTTGAAATCGAGTTTTTGATGGAGTTTCTTTACTGACCGTATCAAATGTGGTTTTTCTCGAAATGACTAAAATTTACTTCATTAAATTGAAAGAGAGAGATGATTTGAGTCGAGAGAATATATAGGTTTTATTTGTAGTATTCATCAATCAGAAATATTCAGGGAGTTTATTTAATGTGATCAAAACCAATAAACAAGAACCTTTAGCTTACTTAGACTTAGAAAGTACCCATAGTGATGCTCCATATGAGATTCCAAACTTGATCATCCAGTTTCATAGTCAGTGGAATTACTACCGAGTTCATCAGGCACTGTGTGAGTGAGACGTTTACACCAGTGTTACGTTTGTTTATTTATTAGAATTCAGACAATTTTTAACATATCTAGTAATCTAGTTCCTGATGGAAAGTAACACACATTCTAATCTCACAACCACCGTTAGTTCCCTCAAGATTAAAAATGATCGTCAACTAATACGAAGCATGCGATTATACGTTCCTCTCGACTGCTTTCAACCACCAAACATTAAACCTTATGGTATAGAACAACAAGGCTCGTGGTGACACTATAATATAAGCATTAAACAAACATGATTCAGGTACAATTAAATAATGGATGATCATGTATGATGATTGCGGTGGAGTTGAATCGTCTAAGATCCAATTAAGAAGTTAAGCACTCGACACAGAGAACATAGAAGAGACTATTTTTATGGAGAAACATATCAGTAAATCAGCTCAGAGCATATAATGTCATCTACATCAACCTATTTGAGCAACAGATCTTCTTTCTACAATCTAAATATTTGAGCACAGTTTACAATGTTGAATATCATCTAATCAAGTGGATTGCAATATGATCGTTACAAATCAAATAACTGGAAGGATAGCCTTATGATAATCAAAATAATGAATGTTACATTTAAATTTCAACTCAATATTCACCACTTGTTTAGATACATTTCATTTTGGGTTCGGCTTAGAATTTGTCCCTTACTTCAATTACATCGCCAAACAGTATATCCTCATATTGAAAACTGTATTCAAAGGCAACTCGAAATCATTATCAAACCGACTAAATAAATAATGAAAGTGAGTAAAACAAATATTTGAATAAACCAATCCACAAATTAAGCCCGTATTGTGTTGAGAGAAAGTAAAGTCGTGTGTAATGACTAACCTTTTTCCTCAGATTCAACCAATGTATACCTTCCATTAAATGTTTGTCTCAATGTATCTTGATCATAACCAAATCCATCTTTCATCCACTGAACAATGATTTTCAACTTATCTGACAATAAATATGGATTGATAACTTGCCAAACTGCTCCCGGTACGGCAGATGATGATGAAGAAACATCTGAAAAGTATCCCTCATTATTCAATTTACTATTCTGAAATACTTTGTAGTGATTTTCTTTAAGATCATTTTGAATCTGAAGTTGAACACGACATCTCAATAGTACAGTTGAGTTAATCTGAACATTCGTATGCATTGGACCGTGTATTAAAAGATAGTGTTTTGATTCACTGTTTGATGCTACTGATATTTGTATAAGTAGTAAAGAAATGAGTAATGACAAGAACGACGTCAATTTAGACCCTAAAAATAAATTAAAAAGTTAAGATTATTTCAACAGATATTTATAATTACTTAGGTACCTATTAATACGGAGAATACAAGTCGATCAACATGAATTTGCTCATCATTTAGGTACATATCGGTGCCAGTCTTGAAAGAGGTTAGTCGTGGATTTTATAGCTAAATTACAACGTTTTTTAACCATGACACTAGGGGACATTTGTTCGAGTAATACATGAATAATCTGTAATTTCTATACTACATATAATTCAGTTTGGCGGGTGTGAGCTAGGGAAAAATTTTTGTTTCAGACTACATACCAATTCTCTTCAACAATCTTACATTTTAGTCATTCGTACCATAGCAGACAGATGATTGATTGTTGTACATGTCTATCAAAAGTGACTGACACTAGACGTTATGTTTATCTTCACTTGACAGTAAAATATTTGTTATTTTATGGTAGGTCAAATCATCGTTTTTGAAAACACTCTTATCACATATGCTGCTATAAACCTTCTAAGAAGATAACCATATGTAATAGACAATCAAAGAGATTGATAATATGAAGACACGAATTATTAAATTGTGATTCATTGGTTTATTTTCATCGTTTACATCTAAAGACGCAAAGACTGTGTTCAATATCATTTGAAGAAAAGCTTTTAATGAGTTCCAAGTTAGAGCGATATATCTATTGTGCCATAGTTACCATAATTTCTCTAGCTAGCATAGATCAGTAATAAGAAAAACAAAGAACAATGGACGGAAAAGTATTCAGTTGTTGTGTATGCTATTCTTGTTTATTGACATAAGTAGTATGTAACATCGATAGGAAGTAGAAAATTTAGCAGAAAAACACTGAGGAGATCAAGTTTAGAAGAATAGAACGGAAAATAGAAGGGGTTTATGAACTGTAAAAATGTAATGTAGAAATGATAGAAATTTGCAAATGAAGTATTCACTGTACAATTCTTATATCGTATCAAGATTTTGATGAGTGATCTTATTTTAAACTATTGCGATGGCAATATAGGGATTCTTGAAATGATCTCATAATTATTAAGTCTCTATGAGGTTAATTACAAGTTTGTTTTTACAACAGAACTAATGAAACATGATAGAGACTGATCATTTCATGTAGTTCATTCGTTTTTCAAGGCTTATGATTAATTCTCCTATTCGTCTACAGCAGAAATATAATATCACATAACGTCAATGATTTGCATACAAAACTATTCATTTAAAAAGTCAGTTCCTGACTACGTTTTATAGTTAGGCATAGCTTTCTTGACAATTCATCGTCACTAACACAATAATCATCATTATATTCATTGAAGAGCAAACGACTTAGAATGATAAGACAAAATGATGAAGGAAAATCATATATGGAAATAGTTATCTGTTTTAGCACTCCGGTGACGGCACTGTCTCAATTATTATTCATTGAACTGTAGATGAAGAGGCTTTTTTGGAGTGAATTGTCATGATAACTCCACAATTCCCTCGTTACAGCAAATCTACACAGTTGAAAGAAAGCATTCGATAACATCATCACTGTCTTTTTCACTGTATGATGAGAAAAAAAATCTCTGTTACCATTTTCAAATGTATCGAGTTTTACACAAAGGTAGGTGTACTTAGTTTTTCATGTAACTTAAGACTAAAGTCGTTCAGTTTTGAATGTTGTATAAAACTCAAATGTAGTTTGCTTGATGCTGACTAGTTCATCACCATAATATGGTTTAACCAAAATAACTGTTTAACTTCAGACTCCATCTGCAGTCCCTCCGGAGGCTATCGCCGGTCCCAAGCCTGGGTAAAGGAGAAGGGTTGGGCATAGGGTTAACCACCCCATCCCGTAGAAAACTAACTCGCTAAAAAAACGCTAACGTTTACAGTTGACCTATGTATAATTCTATTTGTGAACGGTAGCGCATTTCTTTAATACGACCATCCATCATACAATAACCTATCAACATTAATGATTCATATAATTAATTTTGAAGACAGAACTTTGAAGATAACTTTACATTCCATACAGAAGTAAAAACAAAAACTAAGAAAAAGGAATCATTCTGTCTCTATAGTAACGTGCGGTTGTTTCGACAAATATTAACAAAGTTAACAAATCAGAAGTTATGATAAACAATCCAGGTAACAATAAATGTTATTACTGAAATACAAATTAGGGAAATTTCACCGAGGTTATTCACCAAAAAAAAGAACATAGAATTAACATTTCAGCATAAATACAAATAAGACAGTTTGATTTCTCCTAAAGAGAATGATACAATAACTTACTGTTATGTCCCGGCTAGAATAATGAATGGTAACTTTTGGGATCTATTGATGGACCAATACTAAACGTATATTTCTATTGTGTAATTATTCAGTAACTAAACTATGAATATTCATATTCTTCTTATTATAAGCTTTATTTTTGACCCATAAACTATTATTATACGATTTACCATTCTTGAATTATATCCTGTCTGTTAATCACTACCTCCCTCATTCACAGCCACATCTGGCTAATTCTTGTACAAATGTTATGTCATATTTTATTGGTACGTTGTGGTCCGTTTTATTGGCATATAAACTCAGTATGTTTGAAATAAATGATTCATATCAATGAGGCTGAGACTGGTGTTCTGGATTTAACTGGATGGGCTAGGCAGAAAGCAAGAACAACCAGGACTCTAGGCTGCTCATACGGGCTTACACGTCATTGGTCTGATCGATAAGTCACTGCTCCCTAATTGACGGTCGCAAGATATAACACTTACATTGTATTTTCAATTAGTTTTATCTAAACATAAGGTATCTGTAGCAACTGTAATTTATCGGAAAATCATTTTCTAAATTATTTCTCAATAATTCTCGCTTATTAATTTGGGAATTTGTGGAGATTGTAGTATTTCAAGAATTGAATTCATGAGTCAATCAGTGTTAGACCACTACTGAGAACTTGAAAGCACTGAACGACCGTCCCAACCTAGTATCGGACTATTCAAAAGTGCAAATCTGTATCGGCTGTGAGACGGCTATCCACCTCGGACAATGAATGAAGGGATGAGGATGATTATAGATCGATCGAAGTTAGACATTAACAGCGCTGAATACTGGCTCAGTCGTTAAGAGGCTAGTCATTCGTAAGTGGGAATGAAGGTTAGAGTCCCGAGTGTGTGATCGTGATTGCGCACTGCTAAGGGGTCTCGTACTAGGACGAGACAACCGTCCAGTGCTCCCAGGTTTCCAATGATGGTCTAGCTTAAATCGCCCCAGACGTTCAACTATCAAAATTCTAATTTATTCTATATAACTTATCCCATTTATAAACTGGAATAAACAAAGAAAAATATTGTAGGAGAATAACATTAATTCATTTATTTCATGGATTCTCCTTAGTTGCTTACAAAGATAAACGGTAGTTTCATCTGATCATCCGCTGACCTATTGATTTGATAGTTTGAGTAAATTTCTAGAATATTAATGTACGCTCTTGATCGTTTAGCATATACAATAATCAATGTTGACAGACATATTGTTAGCAAAGATGAATGATAGCTAGTAGTGGAATCCAGGATGCAAGTTCCATCCTACATGGCTATCAGGACTAAGTGGATAACACGATGGTGTTTGGAATGAACGATACTGCGTTCGAGTCCTGGAGTGAACATCAACTCTGAGATGCGGCTATATCCAGATGATGAGTTCTACATAGGACGAAAAGCGAACACTAAATTCCACTGCTACCCACAATCCACCTTTGTTTATAATGCTTGTGACTTGAAGCATTATTGAAGCAATCCTCATAGTATGTACATATACCAACAAGAGACTGATCAATTACAGTCTCAAACATCAAATCAGAAGATTCAAACAAACAATACAAAATGAATTTAAGACGTAGTGTTACCATGGTGTAAGAAAAATCATGATATAAAATTGAGAGAAACACGGTTGTATGTATAAATTTCACCATGCCAACATGTGATAGTTTTAACGAGGTTAGAATGAAATAGAACTGAAGAATTTCCTCTAGAAGTTAACAATCAACTCTTTTTATTTTGATATTCTAAACATTTAGAATTATGTGGTTAATCATCTGTGAAGAAGTTCTCTCATTCTTCATTAGTGTATGCTTCAATAATTCAAACTATACAATCTGTATTGAAATGTTTTATAAATAAGAAAAACAGAATCATAAAGTGAAGCAACGCCTCATGAAATAAAGTTTCACAGAGTTATGTTATTATGATTAATGACTTCAAAATAAGTAACTAAATTGACATTAGTGTCGTTGACTAACTTACATTCTTTGGAAAGTTTATGTTTTGTTTAGTCAAAGTGACCTGATGAACAAGAGAAAGTAAACTGATTGATTCATAATTGAGATGAATCAAAGTAACAGTTCATACCTGAAATATTTAAGAGTCAGATACGTAATGGAAAAGATAATCTAGAGTTTCTTCAAACTAATGCTGTTCTCATAAATCTCAACACTTGACTTTTAAGGATATCTGAAAATGTTTCCCTTTTGAATTGAATCTTCATGAATGAATTCTTCTCTAGAACTTCAAAGGTACTTTTCAAATAAGCCAAGATTGTAATTGACTTAGAACTATTATGCTTACCTTTCCAACATCTGATGAGTTTCATATATAAAAACCGGATATAAAATCCATATCTCTTTTAAACCGATTTATATGATGGGATTATGAGTTCTATCTTTCGACGTTTAGTCAACTCTAATTACTTCATAAATCCTCCTTTTGATTTTAAGGCTGTTTATGGAACTTGTTCAGATCTATGAAGATTTCTTCGTATTTACGTTTTATTTTCTACTATTTATAAACTGGAGTGTATCTTATCTTTATCTTAACATGGCGTTAGCCTATTGTTATTATTCGTAAAATCTATCCAAATTTTCCTTCCTACTCGTAGGTGGGGCCGAGATTTCCAAGGAAGCTATTTGAAAGAATACAACCAATCAAGCTAAAGTTTATGGAAATCCT